ATGTTTCGATAATGGAGTGTCTTGTAAATAACTATTAACTTTTTGACACGTTTTGATTGATCACGACTGTAAACTTCTTTCCGATCCAAAAGGTAATTGACCCAAGGCCGAAAGTGTGGATTCAATTTTACTCGAATTTATTNTCGATCTTTATTGAGATCATCTTCAGGGCCTGGGATTTACAAACATTGTTTTCATATAACAATTACATTTTGGATGTGGAAAAGTGAATTTATACAATGAAAAATATATTTTTTATATATTCAATCAACTTAATTATTTTACCAAAATAATTACCAATTACCAAAAACTGAATCAATCATCATTTGTTGATTAATTACTGTATTACATTGTATATCATATTGTAAACTGATATCACACTAATTAATATTTAATTTAAAAAATACATATATAAATATGTGTGATATCAGTTTACAATATGATATACAATAAATACAGTAATTAATCAACAAATGATAGATTGATTCAGTTATTGGTAATTGGTAATTATTTTGGTAAAATAATTTATTATTTGAATTAATATGATTAATTTGTGATTGTACTGCAGAATAATAATCATAACACCTACTATTTAGCTAGTTGTAATAAAGGCCGTATCGGTAGAGAAGCTCTTACGTATCAAGAGCACTATTCATGGGTGGCCCTGGAAAGATCTGACTCGTAGAAAAAGGGTCTTCCTCAACCGATTAAGGAGAGGACATACCAGGTTGAAGACGGACACGTTTGAGCCAAAGAGAGCGTATGTGTCCGACCTAATTGAAGGGTGCAATTCCCTGGCTCTTTATTGAGAACGTATAGGATTCTCACTGGATATGAGAATCGGCTTGAGCACGGCAGCGATTACGTGGGCCCCCTGTTCTGATTTTTGGAGGAAACAGGATTGTTTTATTGTGTATAGTTCTGACATTTTTATGTCCCCTTAGTGTGTGTTGAGAGCATATGTATTTATTAGCGTAATAAAGTGGGCTCGCTGTTTTGAGTGGTAAAATTTTTCAAACAAATTCTATTGTTCGGGGTAACACATGCTTTGTAAAGCACATGTCTCACTTTGCATGACCTATCGCCGGGCAATTGGACAACAGAGTGATGTGAGAGTCCGACCCCTAAAGGGAGAAAAGGACCATGGAAAAGTGTGAAAACTATTCGGCATAAACATGGCAAAAAACCTATTAATAAAGCCAGAACGTTAAAAAAAAAAAAACTAACACCAGCGGAACGTAATAGCAAAATCCCACCACCTAGTAGAAGTTGAGTACAGGCAGAGAAACGAAACTTTGGGCTATTTGTGTCCCTCCCTCCAGCTAGCAATAACCAATTAAGTAATTTGAAAATTTACGTAACAAGTCTGTTGAACAACTCTCCTCAACTAACCCGCCATATTTGATATATTTGTAATATCCTAAAAATGCGAGAGGAACCGGCTATAATTATTATTGATATCCTAATTGTTAACTTAAAAAATCAATAATTGGATTTGATCAAATTATTTACCAGAAATAAAAGAAAAACAGTTTATAATATGCTTTTATCACATTTAAAGTGGTTTGTAATCTAATGGGACAAATAAATGAGACACAAGTTTCTAGACTGTGTTGAAGTTTCCGAATATAAACTGCTGTTTCAGTGGTTTGACAAGTAATTATCTCTTGGTCCGCCTATTCTCCCTTTTAGTTCCCGGCTAAATAATTTGTTCCTATCTTTTTGTACAAATGTTTGTTTTATCTGAAAGTAGATGGAATCTACAAAGAGCAAGGTAGAGGGAAACAGTGTTTGTCATAATATCTAATTTTTGCTGTTGTTAATGAGTATTGAATTGAAGAAAATATTAAAGATAACACTTTGAAAAGATGAACAAACAAAAATTATTTATTAAAAATAATTCATTGTGAGAGTTCTTCGTGAACTTGCAACGACAATTGTACTATAAGTCCCTCTTCAATAAAATTTCAATGGGTCTACTTTTACTGGCGGAAAAGTGCAGACTTTTGTAGCACGTCATAGACAGAGGGTGAAAATGGCTTAAAAAGGAAATATATATGAATTTACGTCTGGAACGGGACTAGTGACAATGAATTTAGGCAATAATGAGAAGGAATGGAAAAACCTTTGCAAAAAAAATTACCATTTATGCCTTATGATTTATGAAAACTTTTACGATTTATTAAAACGCGTAAACTTTCCTGCTATAAATTACTTATCATATTTCTCCTAAAAAAGCTAATGTTTATAATTAAGCTAGTGTAATTTTACATTTACAAAATAATATTTCATTCCCTTTTCTATTAGCATCACGAGAAAATTATATATAAATATATATATAAAATTAATAAGTTCACTAATTTCGTGGTCCGCTAGACCAATTAATATATTACAATTAATTAAGGTTTTTAGTTGAGATAAAATTGACTACTGAAAAATGATGTTGTCCTTAAAGGATATATACATATATATAATGATCGCGCTATTTGGATAACCCCCTCCAAAAAAAAAAAAAAAAAAATCTAAAAAGGCGGCAAGAAGAAGATGGGAATACGACCTGAATAGACCAGCTGGGTGGATTTTGGAGAGCTTAGATTCTGAGATCGCAGGTGATAGTTGAGAAACAGTCTCGATTCCGTGGTCTTTGGTGATATCGATATAAAATGGTTAACGGCAAACGAAAATAAATTAAATATTCCTATGACGTAAATTTAAATAATAAATTTGTTAAATTAGTAATAATCAAAATACTTTTATTTTCTGAAAAAAGAACTGTTGAATAATGATTTAAAAAATAAGATATTTCCGCATTTCTTTTACGTAAAATTCTATTTTTTAAACATGTATTATTAGATGATCATGGCAGATTAATAAATGTATGTTTAAATATGTATGAAACTGTATTGTTTCACAATTGGCAAGTGTTATTAATCGAACTTACTGGAATTTAATTGACGCTTAGAAAGATGTTTTGTCAAGAGAAGTGTGTCAAACAATACGGAGTACAATTTCAAGCCTATCTGTGGTATAATTATCATCTATCCTTTTGCGCTTCCAATTCAATAATAGTACTTTAACCCACAATTTCTACTATCCTTTGTACAGTTTTGGCTGGAAGATTTAATTAACTACTTTTAATTATTAATAAGATAGCCTTCACAAACTTTTGGTTTAACTGGAAGTATATCGACTTTTTTATTGACCAAAAATATAATTAAATAGCGATTTTCCCATGTTATCCTCCCTGACAGTAAATTGAAATTTCTAAGTTAAAATACAGCTGAAATTTGATTACATATTTTTTATATTTTACTTTAGGAGCGGCAGATCTATTCTTTTTCAGCCAAGTTATCTACAATTCTCCGCTATTCGCCAAATGTATGTTGGTTAGTTTACTTTTGGAAACTATAACTGTTAACAATGATGTTAGATAAAACAAGATAATAATTCAAGATAATTATTTTTATTTAGAAATCGTGAGATGCGGTCTGGTGTGATGTAGGCTTCAGAAAAACATTTTCTTTATCGTGCCAACGTTTCGATCTTTATTGAGATCATGTTTAGAGCTCAAAGTGTTTGTTTTCTGCGCAATTGTGTCATTCTTGTGTGTCGTGTTGAGAGTCACAAGAATGGCACATCGACACGAAAAACAAACACTTTGAGCCCTGAAGATGATCTCAATAAAGATCGAAACGTTGGCACGATAAAGAAAATATTTTTCAGACCTACATCACACCTGACCGCATCTCACGGCGATCTTTAAATAATCAGTAATTAGCGTTTACTAAATATTACACATTACTAATAGTAAACTTATAGACCTCCCCCATTTTATTATTGTGATATATTTTATATAATTAATCTAAGTTAATATGTTTAAATCCTTTCGCATTACTCAACTTTTTATTTTCTTATCCTACATAAAAAGCGTTCGGCTGATGTAAAATAACCTTCAATATATCACTAAAATTTTTGATCCCAAGAAAGTAGCCCCTTTTTGTAAATTACAAAAGAAAAGCTGTTAAAATTTTATTGTACATTATTGTGAGACGAGAAAGAGAAGATAGTTCTTCATTTATCATAATTCTATTAATTGAAAATTAAAATATTAATCAATACAGTAACAACAAAATTAAAAGTTTTATTGTGTCCAAAATTAATAATTAATCTCCCTCCAACAACAACAACAACAACAACAACAGTACACCAAGTGTGTACTGGTAAATTTACAAACAACATGCAAATAGATGTCAACAATGATTATTAAAACTGAGCGGTGGCGAGGTAAAGATGGTCTAGTAATGCCTAACATATTTTCAACTACAGGGAAAAACAATCAGGTAATTGATGAGGTTTCCAGAATTCCAGGGGATCGAAGGCAGTGAGCGGGCTGACAAACTGGCATAAGCATGAGCAGGTTTAACACTCTTTGAGCCAGAACAGCAAATTGGCACGCCCCAAAGCATGCTGAAAAGCCAACTGAACAAATGGAAATTAAATTAAATGTTGGAAAACAAATTTACAAAATAATCAAAGGAGTCAACATTTCAACCATGAAAAAATCTATTTCTAAGGAAAATAATAGACCATTACTCATTTAATTACTAGCATAAAAAATTGGAAAATGTACCTAGTTGCCGACTCTGTCATGAAACAACGCACTTCGGGCTATACCTTATGTGACCGTAAAAGGGTTAGTCCGAGAAACAATTACAGCCACTTTGGAAAGGCAACACTAACGAAGAGGAAACGCGGAAAGTGCTAAAGTACCAGCACTAATCACGGGTAGTGCACTTTCTAGGGGATGTAAAGAAGGGTCAATTCCACAAAAGATCTTTTAGGTCGGAGTGAAAGCAAGAGAGACTTGACGACCGTATTCCCAGGAAAAAAGTCCAGAAAAACATAATTTAAAAAAATCGTTCTCAACATAATTTACTTATTTTCTAAATGAATGAAAATATCTAAATAAATTTCAAAAACTTATGTTTTAAAATACTCACTCCCAAATCAAGATAAGTTGTGTAAATCGGATACGGTAGTACCAGGCAAATACCGGTCAGCCAAGATCCCGTGGCGCAGACGAATGCAGGTATCCTCGGTTTCATAGGGTCCTTGAGGAATCTGTGTCTGTCCCAGGCTATCAAAAGGAGCGTCAACGTTGAGACATGAAGCGGGATGTCCTGAAAAATTAAAAATACGAATATTAAGTTTATAAAAGAAACCTATTAGGCATGGAATTTGTAAAGAAAAAGATGGATTATCCAAAGCCAAAAGTTTTCCTAATAATGAAAAACGATATTTTAAAACTTTTAATGACATTTATTTATATTTTCTGTGTTTGTGTTAAACTTTTTTTTTCATAAAACGTTAGCAGTTCGTGATTAAATCCTGCTATTATTTTAACTCTGAGAGTTTGTTAAACTGTTGAGCCTTTGAATAAAAGAGGTGCAATACATTAAACATGAACCAAGGGGCCGGCGTCCGAATGGTTTATCCGCTTACTTTCTCCAAAAGTTACGGAAATTTAGGTCGAAACAAATTACTAAATGGGTCAGAGGGAAAGAACCTAGGATGTCTATATTATACAAGTTAAATATTCAAGGTTAACGATACAAGGGATAAAAATATGTTAATGCAGGTTTCTTGGTTTATTGCTTTCTAAACGTGAAAAAGACAAATAAAAGTACGAAACTTCGATTTAAAATCTTATGCAAACAATGAACCTCAATCTATTGATTAATACAATTAATGAAGGTTTTTAGTTGAGATAAAATTGACTACTGAAAAATGATGTTGTCCTTAAAGGAGGATATTTTTCTTACCTTGTTATACTTATTTCAACAATATTTCTCGTGATGATTTATTCTCCAGTGGTTTTATGTAGTAAGATAAAATCTTTGTGTTTTGAATTGTCAAGTCAAAATTAAAATGAAATTTTGTTCTAAAACAATGAACTTCTTTGATTTGCAAAATTATAAATCAATGTGTGGTGTTTAGTGACCGTTACTTAATTATTATTTGGAGGTCGTGAGATGCGGTCAGGTGTGACGTGGTTTTAGAAAAACATTTTCTTTATCGCGCTAAAGTTTCTTTCTTTATTGAGCCCTGAAGATGATCTCAATAAAGATCGAAATGTTGGTACGACAAAGAAAATGTTTTTCTAATACTAAGTCACACCAGACCGCATTTCACGACCTCCAAATAATCATTATAAAGAAAACTAGCACATATTCCGACTGTTAAAATTGTAATATAACATGTTTATAAGGTTTTCTTATATTCATTGTGTATTAAACGGGTTATCAAATTATTTATAGAAATTATTCATTGCCCTTCTTGGACTCTGATTGTAAAAACTTTTCTGTTTTCTTTCACATTTTAAATGTATTCCTCTTTTTTCTTTTCCAGCTTTTTTCTTTCATTTCATTTTTACATCAGTCCGAAAGTTGTGCATATTGATTCGGAATTTGTTTCTGAGTAGAAAGTCTGCCGCAGTTGAGAAACTTTTGTGCTGCTAATTTCCAAGTTTTCTAGCATGTTGAATTTACGTCTTACCGGGAGGCACTTTCACGCTTACTTGTATCCAGTTGTACCACCTCAAATATTTATAAAAAATTATTATANCCATATTATTTCTTTCAATTAATTAAACTTTTTATGTAAGGTTTTTGGTTGAAATGAAAAAGATAGTGCCACGAGCGGGATTCGAACCCACGACCTCCAGCTCAAAAGGCCGTTGGTCTTGACCACTTGTCCTATCGTGATTTCGATCCCCTCGGACACCAAGTTCCCATCAATCAGGACCACGAAATATAACGGCACTAACTATATACTTCTTATATTCTTACATGATAGACACTTCTTGACATTCTCATAAAGATCATCAACGCACCCATACCTTCATACCCATACATTCTACAAATGCTTAAGCAATGAAATCAAAATTTGACGACACGGGATAGAAAGCTATCCGATCTGATACAAAACGAGAACGATAGTCAGTACTGACTTAGGCGATTCGTAGAAGATTGCATCATTATCAAACGAATACTACAATTACATATATTAAAATTTTCTTACAACATGAAATAATTTAAAAAAGGTAAAATCTAATTGATTATATGTTTAGAATTGCATTTTCTTAGCAATAAAATTTTCATAAACAATTAAAATACGTTTAATTGTGTAAAATTTAAGTTTTAGCAATGAGATCTCTACGGATACGACGAAGGAGAGTTTGTTCCGGAGTGGTTCCAGGCTCAACCCATTATCTAAAATTATGTTGACTGGTGTTTACAATTTAACGTATATCTTTAAAATACTTTTCCTCTGATGGCAGACATTCAACACTATCCATTTTTCTAATCATGTTTAAATGAAGCTAGATTAAAAAAGTCATTTGGTTTAAGACGATTAAGAATATCCGTTAATTTATACATAGCGAGACAAGGCGGACCAAGATTAAGAGTAACATCACAAAACTTTCTTAAATCCAGTTTTAGGATGCCGTTTTTATTTCATAATAGTGATTGGTAAAACGGTTAAAAAGCGGTTGAACTTTCGGCTTATGTGCTACTAAACTTCTCAATTACCAGATATAAATAAAACTTTTCCAATAAAAAGGGGACTTTTTTCTTCAGGTTTTCTTTATGTTTTTCAATATTCAAATAGAATAATTATTAATTCAGTTCGAAAGTTATAAGAATTCGTTATATTTGGGTTATTTTGTAACAACATTGCAAGAATTTCGGTAAATTTTAATTTGTTTATTGCGTTTATTATTTATCTTCTTATTATCGTTTGTAGACCGAGTTAAAAACACTTTGTTAAGAACGGTAAATGTTTTTTTTTTAACCGCTGGAATTCCCGGGATGAAGGCAATTTTTCATTTTTGCCCCTGAAGCCCCCAGATAACTTCGACGAACAAAGTTTAGTAAAGCTCCGGATTTAGGATTACTAGAATTACTTTAGATGTGTGCAAATCAGTACTTCTACTGATTCGTGATTATTTTAGTAGAGTTTGTTTCGTCAATTGCTTGCCTAGCGTCGTTACATTGAGTTTATCTAATAGAAAGCGGGGTTTAATGCAATTTTGTAAACATGCTTTTAATTGTTAAATTCTGGAAATTTATTTTTAACGAAGGTTAAATCCTTCAAACTTTTGATTACTTCAACACTTTGTTCCTGTTGAAAATGTACGAATTTACCAACTTAGCACACATTTTATCTAATCAGCGTGACTTTTTTAGTAAAATGTTTTTTTATAATATAATATGACCAATTTTGAAAATATAAATTAAATAATTAAAAAAATAATAGACTAATAGAATTTAATCTTTATAATATTCAATTAACATAAACACAAGCAAAAATCACAATTATTCACTTTATATTCACTAATTTCGTGGTCCGCTTGAAAAATGGCAAAAAGGAGGCAAAATTCAAAAGGTGAGGTTGAGATGGGAAGTTGGTGTCCGAGTGGATCGAGGTCACGATAGCTCAAGTGGTATAGCAGCGGCGTATCAAGCCGAAGATCGTGAGTTCGAATCCCGCTCGTCCCATTGACTTTTTTATCTCAACTAAAAACCTTAATTAATTATTCACTGTGGTCATAGAATAATTTGGAAATTATTGCTTGAATGATTTTAGAGAAGAAAAATTGTTAAATTTAAAATTATGCTTATGTGAAAACTTCAGTGCTGTTATGTACTATTGTAAAAATATTGTTTTAATTTTAGGAAAAAAAAGCTTTATATAATATCTATTGTTATAATCCTTCTGTTTCCAAATATCTGAATCCCTTATATTAGATAAATAGCACCCTGGATTTTTGACAATACTACATATCAAAAACATTGTTTCAGCAAAAGAAAGTCCACAGCTAGAAACCTTTTTTTATTCCAGAACTTCACTTTCAACTCCTTTCCTGAAAAGTGTCCAGTTGATGCTATCTGCACTGACTCTTCCAAGGCTTTTGACAAAGTTAATCATCCATTTCTGACGGCCAAATTAGCTGTTCATGGTTTCCATGGCACTCTTTTGAGTTGGTTCTCTTCCTACCTTATCATTAGAATCTTTTTTTTTATTACATTTATTTGGTATTTACAACTACAAGTGATGTATTAAGTAAATATGTAAGTATATGTTGAATTATCATTTGAGGCTCTTGTAGGAGAAGTTGCCCAGTGGTAACACTCCTTCACACTGATATCTTGTTCATTCTTCACACAATGAGAAGGTCTCGGGGCCACTTTCGCTTCAATCGTCTTGGAGGATTTTCAGGTAGGGTTGGAAGTGATAAATTTTGGTACGAATAGATTACTGTGTGTGTTCAGTGATTGATGAAATTTTTTATATCGGGTTTTGATGGGTTCATGTACAAACGGGATGTGTCTTTATGGATAGTGTAATTTGAAACGTAAAACGGAGCATTTATTATTTGACGGATAATTTTAGATTGGATTGATTGGAGACGCTGGGAATTGGAATCCTTGGTTGAGCCCAACACTTCACAACCGTACGCCCAGAGAGGTCTAATCATTGTCTTGTAAATTAAAAGTTTACTTTCAAGGTCTAATTTTGATCGTGAGTCGAGTAGTCTTTTTAACAATTTATAACGTCGGTTTATTTGCTGTCTTTTCAGTCTTGTATGGGGATTCCAAGTCAGTCGTTTATCCATGAAAAGTCCATGATAACGCACAAGGTCAGTGGTAGGCAATGGAATTCCATTTATACTCACCGCAGGACAGACATTTTGACGTATGGTAAAATTGATCTGTTTGCTCTTTGTTAGGTTAACCTTTATTCTCCACTTTGTGAACCATATTGTTAATTCATTCAGGTGTTGTTGTAAGTGTTGAGTGTTAATTGAGGGATCCGAATTGCGTGTGAGAATGCCTGTATCATTAGCGAATGTGTGTCGAAACGATAACGTGTGTAGGAATATCTGCAGTGCATATGGAAAATAAAAAAGGGCCAAGTATGCTTCCTTGAGGAACACCCGCCCTTATGCGTACATAAGGTGAGAATTCGGTTCCCTGACGGACTCGACAAAATCGATCCGTCAGATAAGAATCTCAGTATAAGATAGTACGTATGAGGGAGGATGTTCCTAAGTTTCCAAAGCAAGCCCGAGTGACAGACTCGATCGAAGGCTTGTTCTAAATCAAGAAAGACACCC